AACGGCAAGCGCACAGGTAGCGGCACGACCTTCTACGAGCAGTGCTTGGCGCCGCCGCCGCACCGCTGCAGTGTCATCTGCTCGTTTGTTGCAGCGACGCGTAATGTTTCCGTTGAATCTGCGTGTCGCTGCAATATTGATTATTAATGGAATTATTTATTTTTTCATTAATAAATTCATGCAGTGCACGCGGCGTCGTGAAAACCATTTGCAGCCGCCAATGCGGATATTGCCCACGGGCGGCACTTTTATTTGTTGGCATTGCATTTAAGTGCCACCAAAGAGGTAAATGCATGCACACTTTCAACTATAGCATATATATTTATATATATGTGTATGCAGACAACATGTAGTGCTGCTGTTCAGTTTGTAAGACATTTGGGTGCACCATGTGGTATACGTCACTAGAGAACCTTATGTGTGGTTGGTTGCGAAAATACTATTATAAATGCCTACATGGAGTTCCAAGTTTTGGTTTTTGTTGGTGCTTGATCTAATTTTATATATGTACATTAGGCAGTGCTATGTACTTAATCTTAGGCGAATTTACTCAGAAACAATGAAGGATTAAAATTGAAAATTTGATAAGAAAAGTTAAGGTTGTTATAAATTTCGATATGTCGGACAATGATAGTATATATGATAGTTACATGTCCACCACCTTCTTGATATTTTGGCTTTCACTTTTACTTTCTATTAAATTGGCTTCTGGTGACTGTGATGTCAAATCCAAAGTAACAATATTTGTTCAGTTTTAGACTGAGCAGTGATTTCTTCTGAAAAAGGAGTACCATAGCTTTGTCATCACTTTTAAATGCCATGTGATTCCTCCCCTTTCCTGGCGTGTAATCTACATTTCCAGTTTCTCCATAATGATCAGACCACCCCTTTACTCATTTCTTTTATTTCACGAAAAAACTTGACACATTAGGAATATTGAAAAAACTGACCGAATCATAACCGTCAGTGATCGCAATTGAACTTGTGTTGATTTGCAAAAAATTAAAAATTAACGCGCAAAGAAAAAACATTATGTGAACGCACTGTACATATTGGTAAAGTCTTAAATACTTATGATACGCAGTACCGGAAACTTTTGTTTTTATTTTGTTATTAAATGACTACAAATCTCGGAATAACTTATTTGAAATGACTTCCATTTGCCTTCCAGCAAGATTTGAGACGTTTTAGCCACTGAACGACTTAATATTTGGATGTCTAGTAGAGCAAGACATGCCCTTCCGTCCGCACTATTATTTATATTCTGCATGGGTTGTGGTCTGGAATAGCATTTCTCCAATCATCAAGTCCGGAACGTTGTTTTAAGTCACAGTGGAGTCGTTTTTGCGTTGTGAGCTGGATCTGAGTCTCGCTGAAAGGTCCACGGCTTGTTGAGAGGCTTCACAAAATGCAGCTTGGTAACGCCATCATAGCTCATTACCCACCATACCAATACAGACGCGGGATGGTATTCTCCTTGTACCTGAGAGATGAGTTGGGATGTTTCTCTTGATGACCGAGCATACACACGATCAGTTTGTTTATTGAGCGATATTTCTACAACGAATATTTTCTCGTCAGTAAACAGAATTTGTTTTTGTTGTTGTAGCGACAGAATTCTGCCGAGTTGACAGTCCTTGGCCGGAATAAATCCAAGTCCGTTCCAGTTACGTAGACCCGACTGTCGTGGGAACGGAACAGAATTTGTCTGAGAGCATTCTTCGCGTAGCGGCTGCGTAACGCTTTCCATTTTCGCTTGCGTTGTTCCTTCAGTGCGGTCGTGAGCAGGTCTTCAATATGTCGCTTGTACCCGCTGAGTAAAAAATCTTCTTTAATAAAGTGGAACGTGGATTTTTGCGAAAGATTTTCTTGATTTCGTAACGATTTGGGTTGGATCTCTAGAGTTTATTAGAATGATATGAGCTAGTTGTTAAACGGCTCTAGTTATATTTGTATTATATTGTCTGGTGCATTCGTCTCCTTAAAATACTTTAGAGCATCTTCATATTTTTAATTGTGGTATCACGGATGCACGGGTTAAATGAGGATAACTGCGCTACATAAAACCTGGGCTCGATTTCTTTGTCGACAAGCATAAATATCGGCCGTCCCTCGACTAAAAATGACCTCAATCTGCCAACCTTGTTTTTACTATTTCTTCCTCTAATAAGTTGGACCACAAACATCGAATGATGTGAGTTAACTGTAAAATCCCTGGACTTAATTTCAGACTATACCTGATATTTCGGCTTAACGTGAGAAGTAACACTGCGTAGGATCAGAATTTTTGTTTCTATTCTGATCAACATGAAACAGTTTATTCTAATAATGATCGACCTTAAAATCTCTACCTCAGCCCGCACAGACTTGCCTTCAGAACTTATTTACTCAAAATAGGACTTTTGGTTCCCCTGACTGTTTTTGTATATTAGGTTAATTAATGAGAGATATGTTTTACCAAGTTTTTGAAATTGATATCTCAAGGCTAATTTCGTTGTGATGACCCTTTACTTATTACTCAATTCCTTTCTTTCTAGCTATAATTCCCATAGTAATTCTATTTGACCTTCCATATTGGTGGAATGACTAGATATCCAAAAGATTTGTACTGAGTTTGCCACCAAATCTACAGGCTTGCCACATTTCATGCACTTCAGAAGCCCTAAATTCGATGGTTTACTCCACTTATTTGGTTTTTCTCAAAGGTAACCCTATGAAAGCATAGAGCGCGAGAGTACAATAGTTTTACTCTTTATAGGAAAGGAATTGGGTGATTTTGTTTTTCTCGTCAAATAAAAAAAATATATTAAGATTTTTTCGGATTAAAAGTGAGTTCGTTTCCCTTCCCACAGGCGGCTGAGGCATATAATACCTTGAAAAGAGGACCGCTGGAAATTCAAACTCGAACTTAGTTCATCCTTACTTCTTGAAATATGTAAAAAATTTATAAATGATAAAATCTGTAGCAAAATATCTCATTGATTAGTGAACTTTGCGCAGCTTCTGCTCAGTTCAAACGAAGCCAAGCAAAGAACTATTAGTTAAAGCCACACGATGCTTTAATTGCTCATTTAGTCAGTTGATGGCGCCAATGCGATGCCTTACTAAAACGCTGCACGCTTCATAGTGTTGTAATTTCAAATATTAAAACGAAATTTTTGGCTTCGCTTGAATGTTCATTTATTTCCATTTGTGGTTTCACAATTTGGCGATGAGCCAGAGTGGTGCCGAGAAACCGACAAGCGAATGTCAAACACAAAAGCCAACCAACAAGTGAGTGCATAGGCATTATATGTGATATATTTATACATACATACATATGTACATAGAGGTATAAAGACATATATGTAGACTATATGTCTATAAAAGGAGCTTAAAACGTTATTGGGAAGCTCCAAGGAATTTTTATTTGAGAAAAACTTAAAGTTGTTTAATATATATTAATAGTAACCCGCGAAGACAGTCAGTACCATATTTCTACTGGTACACCCTCCAAATACTTCTTATAGTCGTTGATAGGCTTTTTCTGGTCTCAAAAACTCCTTCTGATTTCAACAGTTCTCGCTGTTTTCAATAGTTTTTCATTATTAATCTTTATCTCATCTGTGGAAACATGGATTTCCCTTTAACACAAATCCGCTGTTAACAGCTCTCCGCTATTTATTTTTCTCCAGCCGAACCATGAACTTCTGCTCATTTGATTATTCGCTCTGAAAAATTTTGTTCGCCCTCAATATTTCTTCAGTGGGATCATGGACTTATTTTCGATGCTAATCCACTATTAATGCACTTCGTTCTCAATATCACTTCAGCGGAACCATGAACTTCTCCTCGACGAAAATTCCATGTTAACGGCTCTCAACAATTTTCTCCGTCCTATTTATTTCTCGAAATACTATCTTCTTTTAACAACCGTATATCTCTACATATATCTTCAGTGGAACCATGGAAACCTGAGAACTCTATACGCATTCGAGTTGACTAATTTTATCTTAAGCTCATTTGTCAAAGTGTGGCTTCTAAGCTAGTTCGGCACATCCTGTAAGGTTTGACTATTCTGGATGAAGAAAATTTATAATTTAAATCCAATATTTGCTTCTAGTTTTGAAATGCTCCGTAGCCTTCTCTCTTCAAACCAAGCGACGTTGAAATTACTAAAATCTCTTAGAGTTTAGAACGCACTGATGGCTTAATGGATCTAACGTTCTACAAGTATTTCACTATAAACCTGTAATGGATTCCTGGACATAGCGCAATGAACTAGCCAGAGCAGGTACCCCCCACAATTAGACTTCGATAAGGAGGAAATTTATATACCTTTGGCTACTTGTAGATATTTAATCGACAAACATGTTATAGTTACAACCGAGTTTCAGTGGAGTCCATCCCTAACTTGCTTAACAAGCAGGCAAACGTGGAATAAATGGAATATCGGAAACAAATGTCGGCTATGAAAATTCAAAAGTAGCGACTCAAGAGCTCTGGTAGGAGTGCTAACAGGTCACTGTCAAATTGGCAGATATGCTAGTAAACTGGGAATACCGTATAATGACAATTGCAGAAGCGGTTAAAATCTATACGTCTAAAGAACATCTTCAATTCGAATACAAGACTTTGTATTTGAAAAGAGTCGCAACTATCGGTCCAGGATTGATGAACTTCAACAGGAGCACAGGGTGGTTCAGAGAGAACATAATAGAGTGGTTTCACAATGGGTCTCCAAAAGGCCTAGGTGCGTCGTCAGACATCCACCCTACCTACCTACCTACTCTCTCTCGGCGAGAGATTCACAGTTCTTCTTGATTTTGTACTTACCTTACTAAAAAGGAAGGTCTTCCTAGAACAATGCCGTCTCCAGTGGTACTAACCTCTTTTCTTCAAAATGCTCTAAAGGAAACTTTGCAGTCGTACTCATATCTATATATACCCGCTGAAAGTAATAAAATTTCATCTGTCGTCGGAAATGTCTAACGCCAGCCGAAACGATTTGTCTGCTTTCAAAATTAGCTATAAACATATTAAGACTGTCAAAGAGATAAAAATTATGGAAAATAATGTCTTTTTCATTTCTGGCAAACAAAAGTGAGCATTAATTTGCTAAAAAACAAAAACATTTAAACTTACTTCTCTATATTTAGCCACACATATGGAGAGACTTACTTATAAAACACTTCATCGAACTTAAATAGCGCCAACAACCAATTTGTGTGAAAATCTCACAAGAAATTGTAAAATAATTTTTGGGACGATTCCAACAAGCACCACAACAACAGAAAAGCCCCAATCCACTTGCATGGTGTATATGTATGTAGAGAGTCTTCGCAGCCACCGTCAAAAGGGAAAATAACAAGCAAACAAACAAACAAAAAGTATAAAGACAAATCTAACCTATGCACCGCATTACGAATTCTCCTTTGAGATGTTGGTCTGGCTATTTGCCACAGGCGGAGTTTCGAAGATAAACATAGAACATATGAAGCGGATGAGCTCTTTGGATGACTGAAGTGTAAAGTGAAAGATTGTATAAATATGTATTTGTAAACATATTTGTGTGTGTAGGGATGAACACGAAAATACGAAAAACTATAAGCGGCACGTTCGGAGCAAGCTGCGCACTGTGTGCTTTTCGGAAAATTGGGGGATAACAAATTGATATCTGGACGGAATCTTTGTGAAGCTGATAAGAAGATCTAATGGTGGCTTAAGCTTGTTGCACAAAATGAAGTTCAAGTGCGGAAATAAACAGAGGATGCCCGATAGGTTGACAGGGCTGTTAATAAACTACTACATCCACTAGTTTGAAGAACTAAAATCGCCATTCAACAACTGATTAAACTAGAAGTTGTTCAAATATTGCATATATCAGCTGATCAATTGTTTACAGAACTCCCGATATTCCTAGCGTATGTTCTGATTCGAGCGAGTGTTTATCGAGTGGGTGTAGGCTATCCATGTCAAGGAAAGTGAGATAAAATATGAAAAAAAATTCTTTGCGTAACACTCCCGTGGCGACCGCTTATAAACTCGGATCTGTAGTGTTTTAACTGTCGTCGTTGAACTTCAACAGCCAGGTTACAGCACCGAGTTGAAAAACTCGACAGTTGTAAAATAAGTTATAAAATATTCCTCAAATAAGTTTTGGGAATGCTTCCGAGACAAACGCATATAAGCCAAGAATAATTTCGGTTACGTAGATTTAACTCTTGTGCGACTTCAAAAGTTGCCAAATTGAAGAATAGAGAAGAGAAACTTGTAGATCCACAAACCGGCCAAAAGTTTAAGCGTATCGCCCGAATACATGCAGACTTTCTAGCTCTGAAAATTTTTCGGTATTTCTTACTTGGCTGAGGTATTATTGCTATAACAATATAAAACATTTTACCTATAGTTTTTAAGAATGCTGCTGTGCTGAAAGCCTCTAACCGCACATAAATACATCACTTGGTTGTTCATATTTTTGCCTCTTTGGTAAATAAAAGACAGTAAGATTATCACTATTATGACCTCATAAAATTTTAATCCCATCCAATTTTCCTATAGACTTGACATCTTATAAAAGAAATTAATCTCTTTTACCCACATATTGTACCAGCAGAAGCCACTGTATATAGTATGAAAAGATGCGAACAAATTCGATTTGAGAATGATTTGTGAAGACAAAAAAATTTCGGAGCAAATTGTAAATATAATCGACGGTTGTCAAGTGTGACAACATGGATTTCGCTGAGCATCGAGGTGAAAATGTGCAAGTATTTGATTTCACTTTAGGGATTAAGAGATATTGAGATTATTATCATTCACCTTGTGATCCAAAGAACATAACAGTCACAACGGAGGGCATGTTTGCCATGTGCTTAAGCTGTTTTCATTTACCGTTGCCTTATTATTGTACAAAAATGAAATACAACCAAGGAAAATAATAAGTATACAGATATATGTACGAAGTGTTGTGTAAAGAAATCTCGAATACGACTAACAACATGAAGCAAACTGAGGTGGTTGCAGGTGTTTAGGCGTTTTGTATTGTAATTCAATTTGTGGTATGCGCTTCAATGCCATTCTACAAGTGGTAAGGCTTAAAAGCTTGAAGCTGACTCAGAGCGGTTGCTGAGGTCAACACCCATTGAGTGGTAGTCATGCTTCAAAAAAACCTTTATAATCTTGCAAAGCTTTTTTCATTCCAACTAAATTGCTATTAGCCTATATGAATATGCCTAGAGGTCTTGCATCAAACTTGAGAACTATTTTTCAGCGTTGATCGATTTCATCATTTAGATATTTTCTACTATATGTGGTACACAGCTCAATAAAAGTGTAAGTTAATGTGTAAAAAAAAAACTATAATCTTCGGAAAGAGCTCCACCAAATGCATTTAAAGGCTTATCCTAGAATGAGGGCATAAATCTGGCATAAAATCTTTCTCTAGTTGTTGCCAGCTTAGCCTTAATCGATTTTGGCCGCATTTCTTCTAATACATGTGGTTATTTTAAGCTTGAACAAAGCTGAGGGGAAACTTATATTATATAATACAAAGCTGCACCAAATGTGTTTAAGAAATTCATCGATCATGTTTCATATACTATTGTTCGAACTTTGCTTTCGGAGTTATAGGTCGCCGGCTTCACTTCTCAGCTCATTTAATAAAGTTTGAGAAGTTAAACTTTGACCGCACTTCTTTACTGTTCTATAATCTTTAATTACTGTACTGTAATCTGATTATATTTCTAACGGGATTCGCTAATATTTGTACTCTGTTGACATGTTGTCAAGCTAACATCGACAGATACATGGTTATAAGTATAAGTTATATTTTTATTATCTGTTTTACTTTTATTGTTCCTTTATTCGGTAGCGACGGTGTTGTCGACTACCACGAACTATTTAAATAATATTTCCGATTATGCGATAGCGACGGTGTTGTCGACTACCACGGAATTATGTTATTTTAAATAAGCACAAGTTGAGTTCCGTTCTTAAACTGTTTTATTAAAAAAACATTGTTCTTATTTATTACCTACTATTACTATCGCCGCTACTGCCATTGACGCTGCTTTTCTAAGTTTCTGCTGACGCCTAAGCTTGTGTAAGGCATTGCGTTACATCCGCCGGTCACACGGTCGGTGGCTACTGCAAGGTGTTGAATTGCGGCTGTCGGTCATTCAGAAATCCAAACTGCATAGGTTGCAATTTTGGCAGTTCAAGAGACTGACTTAGTTAACTATTGTTAACTTATATATCAAAATTTTCAGGAGAACGAGGCGAATTGAGTTCCGTCCATCGTCCATCCATCTGACAATTCAGGCAAGCCATAACTTGAGTAAAAATTAAAGAATCTTTATGAAATTTTGCAGTTGTTGCTTGGTAATCAGATGAAGTTAGAATATTCTTATTGTATTTATATAGATCAAATCGGGTCATTACCACGCCCACGAATCGCTCAAGGAGTCGCAGTAAACAGTGGTAGGAGCGATTTCAAAAGTTGAAACAAGTTTTGAAAAGTTGATGTGGCAAAAATTTCAATGAAAATATCTCGGTTCTTTACTAAAGCTAAGGAAACAAAACGCGCTGAGGACATTTACTTGATGTTTATAATGCCATAAGTCGGGAGTTCAAAGTCTAGAAGAAACGGAGGGAGAATTGTAGAAATATTTTTATTAAGTGGTCGATCTCGGCAATTCAACTGTCGACCTGCAAGCTCAATCACCGGGAGCGGTTTTGGCAAGAAGAGCTTAATTATACCACAAATACTAACATGAGCTTTACAAAAGTCGAGTTCTGATCTCAGATTTTGAGATTCCTACATATATGTTTATATGTATTGTGTGTACGAGTTTGTATATATATCGTTATAAGCTCAATTGCATGCCTAAATTAGGAAAATATTTACTTGACACATATATAGGTATATGTGACTATTCGATTGCCTTTGTTATTGCACCACTTAATACCTACATAAATGTAGCACTCCTACAACACCATATACATATTTATGCATGTATATATATTATGTATTGCCGCAATGCATACGAGCACCCGCATGTCGATAAAGATTCAAGTCGAGAAATTCTATGCGGATTATTTAAATGGATTTGTATCCATATGATTATATTGGCAAAATAAAGCTATGGCACGGATTGGCTTTTATGAGTTTGTCATAAAAATATGATTGCTTCGCTGCTTTTAGGACTTGCATATATCAATTCACTAACACTAAACTAGTGTGGACGCGTCAAGGAGCAGCTCGAGCTCAACGCTGGCAACTGCTGGTGGGTATTGTTTTGGGGTGCAGTAAAGTGGAAAAGCAGATTGCGGATTAAGATTAGGAAAATATGAAGTTGTTAGCGAACAGATGAAACAAATACGAGATGTGATATACTCAACAAGCACACACACATCTATACATATATATGTTTGCATATAAAATCAGGGAGGAATAAAGTGGATATGTGTTAAATGATTGGGTGCGAGGATTAAAATTGGAATTGTTGGCTGTGGAAAGCATTCGCAAAATTAGTCAATCTGTTTAAACGATCGGAATATGTTGGCAATAAAAAACATGTCTCTCTTGCAATAAAAAAATATTTTATTATATTCTTTGCATTCGATAGCTTCATTTAGTTTACGACACGCTTGACTTAAAAAGTTGCAAGCAATACTACCGAAATCGCTAAAAAGTAGCTAAAATTACATAGGTCAACAAAAAAAATATTTGTTTTGCGCATGGGTTTTACTTAATATATTCTGGTTTTATTACAAATATACATGGAAAAGGACGATTACAAACCGAAAATATTTCGTTTTAAGCAATTAAAGCGATTTGACCATTTTTGATTTTCACACCCAAATAATGTCGGTCTACACTGGCTTTTACCCTGAAAGGAGAAGGAAGAGCACGAAAGATAGTGTTTGGACATTGCAGAGGAATAATGTGTTTCATACTTTTGTTATCTGTATACCGGTACAAAGTGTATTTAAGAAGTTGTAAACGAGGCGCTAACTGGTGTTGATATATTGTATTTGCGGCGAATTTATTAAATTTAGAGTATTGTAAAAAAGTATAATTTAAGTAAAAATTTAAAAACTTGGGAAGCATCTCAAGCTTAATACAATCTACCTGTTAAATATCAGATAATAAAAAATAATCAACCCTACAATAAAAAAATTACGAGTTGTGATATTTTCCCGAAGTTACTTAGCCATTGGGAGAAAACAGCGACAATGCATTGTTTCCTTAGAAACCATAGGGCTGACAATTATGAATCTCTACCATCGGCTGTAGAATGCCTCTACAGTTGCAAGATAATATGGGAGCTTATTCGGAATTTAATGGAATTTGAGAGACACTACCAAGGCCCGTATACAGAAAGCATGAGTGGGGGCTATATTTGGGGGTTATTAAGAGAAACTTCTGCGGAACATGACAGGATAAGTAAAACTGTTAATTTTTGAACATTTGGAGTATATTTTAAAATGTATATTATAGGAATGAATCCTAAATGAATGTACGGTATCTTTTAATAAATTTATTATATGTAAAATCTTGGTGTATTTTTATTTAGTTGATCTTATTTCGAGGTATAAAAGCAACAAAAAGACAGTATGTATAACCTGTGCGCAAAAATGCTGTTGACCGGTGTAACCAGATAAAAATTAGATAAATAAAATTTATGATATTATGCATTATTTGTTGTTGTATTGTATATTTATAAAATAATATTTTATAGTTATTTGAGGAAGAAAATCATTTTCTTCGAGCTTTCCGAAAAGAACTTATTTGCTAAAAATGATGGCTCCTATATCAGAACTCAAAATTTTTTATATCAAAAATATTGTCGGAAGCTTAACTTAACGCACTTGCCGGAGAATACTCTTTCCTAAGCGCACAAAATTTCATCAGCTGTACTTCTATTAAAAATTAACTAATAAAACTGTCCTAATATTCGTAATATACTTGCTTAAAGAAATGAAATCTTCACATAAATTGGGTCTTTCCATATATCGGGTTTTCCAAAAGGGATGACATGAGTGTGGTTTGGGCCTTGTACGTCATGATCTGTAGTTTTTTTTCATTGTATTCAGTAATGTTTATAAACCATATTTCAGTGAGGGCGTTCTAAAATTTGGTAGTCAAAAGGTGCAAGGTCTGGTCTATAAAGCCAGTGAAGCACAACTTTCCATCCAATGTTTGCCAAATAGATTTTAACTGGCTCATAATACTGCTCGTCCTTCTGATGCCACCAAATACGGAGCATTACCTTGGCGTCTGGAATATTCAGCTTTGCCGTTGATTTGGCTGGTTGGTCAGGTTTTGCATATGGTTCTTCTTTCTGTTACGTTCAAGCAGTATTTTCGACACTTGAAATTGACTTTCATCGACTTTCTTGGCTTCAATTCATATGTCATCCAATTTCCTTGCTTTTGAATGTGTCCACCTTCTTTTAAACGTTTTAAAATGGCTGCTTGTGTGGCTCCTAAAAATTTTACGAGCTCTTCTTGTGTTTGCCAACAATATTCACGCAGTAATGCTTCTAGTTCTTCATCTTAAAACTTTTTGAGCCGTCAGGGACGTTCTTCGTCCAAAATCACGACTTTTGAATCGTGCAACCTATTTTTGGCACGTTTGCTCAGCTAGAGCATGTTCTCTATAAACATCCATAAAAATACGATGACTTTCCTCCTGATGAACTCCCTGCAAAACCTTGAAACTATAATGTGACTAAATATCCTCACTCGGAAAGTCGGATAATCTTATATTCTGTTTATGGATATATGACCGATCATTAGGTTACATTTTATGTTTAATTTCCTTCAACTAACGCCATTTTGTAGGCGTGGCTTTTCAGAGTGCTGAAGACTACGTGATTCAATAAGATATCTGGATAAGTATACAGGACTCCAGAAATCAATTCTGACCGTCACCCATTTCGATAGTATTACAAGTATCCATATATGATTTACTCCAAAACGAATTTTCTGTATTAACAAAATGAGGAATTGGACATAATTCACTTTAACTGTTAGTATTATATTTAAAAATTTATTTTAAATTAAACACACTATAGACTAATCTCGAAGATTTAAAGTAATCTAACTTACTCAATTCAGTCACATATACTCCTTTAAGTCTATAAATATTCATATACTTGTATATATATGTATAGTATATATATGTATGTTTCTTGTGGGTATCACTTCCACCAAATAAATTAAATAATCCATGTACGAAATGCCAATATTCCGTTTCAATCAAAATGAAATTAAAAGAATTCTGCGGATTTCCGTCATTTGTACAACACCGATGAGTGCCATAAGCCCCACTCCGGCGCCTTTCAACTGATGATGGGTATGAATTGGAATCAAAACATGCTGCCGCATAGCTGCGAGCTGTGAACTGCGCGCTGCATTGCCACTGGCTGGATGCTACGCCGTTATTGACGCTGAGCAAAGAAATGAGCAAATAAAGCCACGCAAACACACAATCCAATCATGGCTGCATTTATTATGAATGAGCTCTGTGGCAAGCAGTCGATCTGGGCTGCTCCGAATACGATGGATAGAGTCGAAAGTGTACTTTTGTATGTATGTAAGTAAAGAGCAAGCTGCAACTAATAACGGCAGCGCGGGTTTTTCGGTGGACGGTGGCAACTTAGCGCCATTTCACTCACCCTCGTAATGCTGTTGAGCGTGCTTTCGGCATTTTTAGTTCATCTGCTTAGCGTTTTTGTTTTGTTTTGAATCCGGTAGCTTGACTTGAGGTTGCGGAGGCTGAGGGGCATGTTTTCGTTGTAAAGTGTAGGAATAAGTCCAGTATGGCGTTGGAAGCTAAAGAAGATTGAGTTGAAGAGTGGCATTGTTGTTGTTGTTTTACGCAGCAGCAGCATTTGATCAATTCGCTATCATAGCCTGCTTCGTTGTTGTAGCAGTGCCGCGCCACCACTGCGCTTGTTGAATGCCTACGAATGCGAAATAATTGGACATAATGCGGTAATCCTCAAGTAATCTGTGGTTCTTCTAAATGTCTGTAGGTATGTATTTGCCACGTATATATATACATAGCTATATATTCGTAATATATATTTGTAGCTAGTTCGCTGTCACTAGTTAACCGAAATACCCACATTTTCGAAGCTATTTACGCCAACTTCCACGACGATAATGATGATGTTGGAATAAAATAGGAATACTCTGAGCAGGAGCGCAGTAATTTTTTTTCTTCTCGCACACAAACCCAACAACTTTGTAAGATTTTCTTCTTAGTCGGAGCAAATTTCGAAGGCTTAGTTCGCCATGAGGGTTGCCCTCAGGCTTGACTTGATTGTCTGGCCGACGATAAGAGTACGTTGCGTGTGTCGGTCGAAAGTGTTGCTCGGCTGTCCACGCTGATGGCCAAATAGTTGCAAATGAATGATGCAGATTTAACACCCCGACACTTTGCTTATTTGTACGGATTTCGATTCCTCCGCCACAGTACATATTCATACACGCTATGTATATGTATATAGTTGTGTATATTGGTATAAATGATTCTGTGTTGCGTTGAGCCTGTGGCGGATAAGAGATGGCTGATAAATATTTTGGGAGTTTGTTTAGGATTTAACAGCTAATGGTAGCAAATGGAGCAAATTACGGCAACTGGTCGAGCAGAAAGTAAGTGCCAATTGGGAAATATTAAGAAAAATTAGTCTATGTGAGCTTGTATGTGTGTGCGTGTGCGTGCAAATGTGGGCTGTCAAGTAATGAACTTGTGCGAGACGTCCTAAGTTGTTGTTGATAGTTACGTAACTGATGGTCACATTACGAAAAGCCTGATAAGTAGGCTTAAATAAAGAAAGCTATAACCTTTTTTCAAACCATTACATTTTGAGCTAAAAGTTAAATGGAAATGAATACAAATTTAAGTATAAAAGAAATCAATTGAGTTTTTCATCTAAGTTTTGTAATTGATGATATTTGGGAAAATAAATAAAATCAGTGCTCATGTGAAATATAAGTTCTTAGCATTCAGTACCGACTGATTTTATATACATATAGTCACTGAGCTATTTTAGTGATAAAGTTAAGCTTTATGGGAGCTCAAGGTTTGAAATATTTCTAATTACGAAGTCCACATCAAATCAGAACCAATTATATGATCTGAAATCCTTACGATAATACTGTTTACTTTAATTGATTCCGTATTGAAGCTCTTCGAAAGCTCGCGAACCAAACAAGTAAATGGTATAAATCATATTAACTGGTATAACGAATTAAATAGTGCATATACATCACTTTGATACTTCGATTTGCCAGACTTTAAAAATTGCCGAAACGAACAAGCAAGTGGTATAAATCATATGAACTGGTATAAACAATTAAGGATAGTATTCAGAGAGGCTATACATATCACTCTTATAAGGATATACTTTTGAGTTGAACTGTATAACATTTTTGTTGCTTAAATTTTTTTATGAAGGAAAATTGAAAAGAAAATTAACAAATCAAACATTGCTATTATGAAATTCACAGAACAAGAAAAATATTTATATATTAAGGGCAATAACTTGCAAACGAGTGGAGCTCAAATATAGTATATAAAGTAATAGAGCCAAAGGACGCTATAATGGCAGTAAACACTCAATCTTTTTAAATAAATAAATTTTTAAATTGTTATGATCAATTTGCCGAAGTTTATAATGATTTGTTTCACTTTGTAAGTACCAAAAAAGATATTGACTATGAACTGCAAATTCTTTTTTAGTTTTAAGCATCTTCCTAAGGTTAATGACGTTTATTGTTGGTGCATTACAGTTGGACTAAACATCAACCCGTCCACAACGATCATCGTTCAAGAGAAGGTACCTGCTGAACCTAAGGACGCTAACCCTCGGCGGTACAGAACTAGAGGTGACAAATGAGGTCAATTATATAGGTGTCACTTTGGTTTCCAGTCAACGATAGAACAAGCATGTGGAACTAACTAGAAAAGCGCTCATGGTGTGCAATCTTTTGGCTGGTAAATTCTCTGACTGTAAGCCAAGGATCATCAGGTAGATATACATACTATGATCGAGATACGAATTGTTACATATGGAATAGTAGCATGGGTATCGAAAGCATCGCAGACTTCGGTAGGTCTTCAATTATCGAAATTGCAAAGACGTATGAGCTCATTACCAGCACTTAAATTCATGCTGGAACTCACACTGCTCAACCTGGTAATCAATCAAACAAAAAACATATCATGCTTCACATGACAGCAGAAGAGTATGCAAAAGGAAATGTAATCTCGTTTCAACAAATGGAGGCCTTAAGCGAATAGACATCACTGGCTCCATATCACCTCAATAACATTACGAATAATATTATTTACTCAATGTTGGCTATAAACCACCTAAATTAAATTAAAACTATTATTTCTATTTAACAGCGCGAATGCTGGTAGAAACTTAGACAACTCTGATGGCTAGTTGCTGTTGGATTTTTTAGCGTAGCCATTTCACGCTTTTTATACGCCACGCTTTCACTTTAAATGGAGCTCTGCAATGCGCGCATTTTAATTCGATTTGTGTTTTCCATTGCAGTCACAAATATTATTATTGTGCATTTTTAATCCGCATTTTTTGTTATTTTCTGCTACGGACTAATAGAAATACATACAAATATATTTCGATAGAATTTTTCTATTCATCAAACATTTAGCGGAACTAGTTACTCTATGCCTAGAACAGTATTATCCTCTGTGTGACAAAAAAACTATTTTTATTCTAGTTAAGAGCAACTGGGTTGCTTATATCGGAAATAAATTTAATATTGTTTTTTTATATTTTGGTATAGGTTTGATATTTGATTTTATATTATGAAGTCTAGGATAGCTTTGTGAACCAGTAAAATAAAGGCGTTAATTAATGGTTTTGGATGGATGGAACTTGATGTAATTGTATCTTGCTTCTAAGTCCGAACTTTTTAGCAGTTTTCGCTCTTTATTAAATTATACCAGTATAATGTATTTGTACCAGTTGTTGCTTCGAATCTTCACACTTTAAAGCTTGTGATATCGAAAATGTCATATAGCTTATATAGATACCTCACTAAATTGGTATAAACAATGTACCATGTATATGTTTATTATAAGAGTCCCCAAATTAAAGACAGGCTAGGCACTTAAAACTGGTACAACTACTTGATTTTCAATATTTACCAACCTTTGCAACTTATACCAGTTACTTGTTCGATTCGCCCCTCTACCAAACCTGGTAAGTCGAAGGCGATTTCGATAAGAATATGCCAGTCTATGAGATTGGTGCTAGTTGCTTGCTAGTTTCGTCACTCTCCAAGCTTTAATAAACGACAAACAGCTTGAATTATTTGAAAGTCACCCTTAGCTCTGTAATATAAAGAAACTGAAACTATTGTACATTAGTCAATAAAATATCTAAAATTTTTTCGTTCCCACAACTGTAAATATTCATACCTGTTGATTTTCATATTCACAAATGTATGTGTTAGGCATCCAGGGTATACACTGACCAAGTACCACCGGCATAGTTTCCGAGTAGTTAAATTATTTTTTTCAAAGCGCTTTTGTAAAAATATGAAATTAAATTGCTTTTAATCTGGATTAATGTAATTGAAAACGGCCAGGCAGAGAACTCACGGTTGCCATTTTTAATTCATTTAGATTGTATGCTCAGCTTAAGGCCGTCGTACCGCTTTACTTGAGCCTTCTTTCCACCTACAAGCATAACTACGTACGCTCGCATGTCGCGCGCCGAATGGTGTGACAGAGAGTTGTGCGATTTAAATGCAGCATTAATTCAGTTTTAGTTCACTTTGTACATTACTATATCAAGCATTTTTCTTAACTAGATATATCTATTTGTAGATCCATTTGTTTGTGTAGATAGCGAAGCTTTTTTTCGTTTTTGATTACTTTTTTCCAGCTGCTGCCGCAACTGATGTCCGCTCTAAGAAATAGGGCTGTTAGTTTATTTTTGCGCGCTTTTTTGTGAAACAAGTTGACAACGCTTTGGTATGCGTGTGCCCAGCGGGAGATGATTGCTGCAGGTTGCGCTTGTCATCATCAACGTCGGCCACAAAGCAAAAGCAAGCGCAATGACAGTTGTAGCTTTAGTCAGCACCAGCATCAGCGCCAGCAACGGTTTAAGCGCGCTGGCTTTGTTTGGCCACTAACAACAATAGTTGTTGCTCATCTCCGTTGCGGCATCTCTCGACTTCCGACTGCATTTTACTTACTGCGTAATGCCACCGTGTACGGTTCGTACGATTCGTTCGTTATCGCTTTTCCTCACGCCATGCAGCGCTTTGCAAAGAGTACATTTTTAATTAAATTGAGTTTCCGCTTCGTAGATTTTTATGAAAAACTTCATTTTCTATAGTTAAGCTGGGGAGCTGGGAAGCTGACAGTTTGCATAGCTGTGCTTTTGCGTGCACCGCATGTACATTATCACCATCTCCGATTGGACACGAATACGTGGTGCGCGGCAAGTTACTTCTAGATTATTTAGCTTTGTCAAAGCAATGCTGGCATGATCTGATTTACTTATTTTCCATATTCACGGAGTTTGATTCAGTATCTCCTGCACGCATTCGTAGATTTATATTTGGAACTGTCGCGCCATACACGAAGTATTCTAATATTTTATGCGTTAATTATGATTGAATTATTTAACTCAAAAAATTACATATTTCTCGTAGACTATGATTAATTTGAGGGAATTTACATTAAAATTCAGACCCTCAGATTTCAGATTGACGAACAGAGTAATTCGAAGTACATATTTATTAGAGAAGTAAATTTTTTACTCATCTACTGGGTCTTTTGCACTGCAAATTATTGCTTTCACTGTTTAATAAATATGGTATTTTCTAAGAAAGTTCGAACACATCAAAAAACCTATTCACCAAAGGCGTAGAATGCTCGCCTAAATAACTCGACAATTAATTTCTCTATAAAAAGTCCACTTCGGTAAGCTATGAAGATCTGCCGAGAGACTTTTCATAGTAACAAGCACCCGACGATTTAAAGTTTGTTCAATACTACGTTGTCTGATTTTGTATAGTTCTAAGAGTAGCTTATGTAGTGTTATTAAAAAAAATCTTTTTTCATAAATACCTTTTGTAAAGCTCTTAGGATAATCGGAAAGCTGTACATTTTCTTAGCGGAGTTTAAGAAAAAATACCTCACCAGAATAGTATAAATTCAATAGTAGCTTAGTTTCTCGAGTTTCATTATAACATCTCTCTTATTGCTCTAGACATCGATAAAAATTTTAAGCTTCTTTTCATGAAAAATTGATGAAAAACTTAACAGATTACATCCCTGTTTTGACACGAAATTTACCAATACACACTTGTAAATACTTTACATACGTTTATATTTTCATATAATATAAGAGAGCGTTTCTAAGTCATCGAATACTACTATTGGATATTCTATGGCTTGTCTAGGTTGTACGATAAAAAATTGCCTAAATTTGGACGGACTTCTAAACTAAAAACTATATGCTTTTAGCTGCTGTGTGAGTATGTAAATATTATTTCTTGCTTTTCTTCATTCTTAAAGTATCAATTTACTACTCTCTGCTCCAACAACGAAATTGGACATACAAGGGTGTCTGCGGATACCTCATTAAAGTGGCAGAATCGCTTACAATTTAATCTATGCCATATTATACCAGTTATGTTATGTTAATTATACCAGTTATTTGTTCGATTCGGCACACACCAAAGTATTGATTCCAGTATTCGTGTCAGTGTATTCCGTTGTTTTGCTATTACTGCAACCTACCTAGCGGTTTTGTAATCTCGCTCGGCGCGGCTGCTTTTAATTGCAATATAAATTTGCCGCCTGTGAGGTTTGGTCGCCGCTGAACATTCGTACGGTATGTTTATTTGGATAAAGTAAGCCAATAATGTGCGCATAGTAGACTTTGGTCGTGCATAAGCTTTTGTCTACTTGTGTTTGCCCATTATAGTGCACATAATCGAAAATTATTGAAATTAGCACGAACCGCTGAACAGATAACTGAATTTGGATTGCGTTTT